TCATGTCGTTCTAGCTTATTACAAAATAAACTAATTGGGGACACCTATCTAGAACCCTATAAAACCAATAAAAATCTTATCCCATGTTTCCAACCTTTAAAACAACCCCTATATGATATTTACAATTATCTAATTTACGGTAATATCCCACCCCTCCGACTAAATATACCCATTATTCTTACACTTTTGTGTAAACTACAAGCTAAATCCTTACCCCACCCCATAGTAACTGTAAGACAATTCCCACCCCCAACTGATCCTAATTTACATGTGTTCGATACTCAGATCGATACGCTTCATGAGGTCACCTAAGTTAAGTGTTCTTATGTGTCTTTTAAATTTACTTAGGGTATCTAATGACTTAACGTTCCTCTTAAGCTTAGATCATAAAACTGGTCTGAGATATCTTATGCTGTGTTTTCCGAAATTGACTGTATTAAATCTTGGTATGATGAAGTCAGAATTCCTAAGATATATATAATCTAATAATATAATAATAATATATAAACACAGCATAAGATATCTCGGACCAGTTTGATTGAGTAACATGCAGTGAAGAGTCTGGGTCATGATGGGTAAACATTCAAGGAAGGTAATGGATGAATTGATTAACACAAAAGGAATGAAAATGTTTAGAACATAAATTTAAGACTAGCCCTTGTCTAAACGAATGATGAAAAAATGGATGAAATACTGTTGATACATAGATATTTATAAGTTTTTTCACTCTACAAGTCCCTACAAGTTTTCACGAGTTTTTGAAAGCAACTCCACCAGATTTTTTCCTACCTTTTCCATCACAAGCCACGACTTTAACTTTATCAGCTTTTACTATTTCTCCTACTTCCCGGAAGTCCACATTTTCAAGAACAAATGTCCAGACATTGTCACAGAATCGATAGGTGTTTAGGTGTCCCTGTAGGCAAAGAAAAAGCATGAATATTGAGTTTGAATACACACCAGAAATAATTTAATGAGAAAAAAAATTTAGTCAATTACATACGCACAAAATTATGCAAGGTAACACTATATACATGTATGTAAATGGCACCTGAAATATTCCAGAAATGTTCTATTGTTCTTTGGCCAATCAGAATTGACTTTCTTACCACAAGATAACAGAAAGATAACAATAACGCTTCTGATTGGTTAAGAAGCATTCTCAAAATGCTTCTAGTTGCCCAGGGTTTTTTTCGATTAGCACTTCCCAATCCCACACGAAGTTTTACGATTTTCATTGTGATAAGATTTTGGTAGATGTCAATCAAGGCACTTCCATAACATTGTATGAAAACACAACATTTTCAAAGGCATGTGCCGTGGAATGTCATGGAAGGGCCTTGATTGACATCTACCAATACCTACTTTGTCCCGATAGCAAATTAATGATCTTTACATATGTAACTGGGACGCACTGTAATCCATGATTCCTACCTTAAAATTAATCTTGTTTTTAACCTTGTTGGATAATGCATGATTAATAGCTTTATCAAACTGTAGCAGTACTTGTAGGGCCAACTGTGGGCTTATTTGCTGCGACTATGGAAAAACATCAAATAAGTCAAGTATTTCGGCAACAAACTAGAGTCATATTGTGCGACTTAAATGGATTATCCAAAATTCAACTCGAAACCATATGATTACCTATACTAACTGTATCAACAAGTTCATACACCATCTTTTAATATGATATGAAATTTATTTTGATTTTTTATAATTTTTGCTACAACAGTGGAAAAAGAATCCAATTATTCAAGTATTTCAAAGACAAAGTAGAGTCGCACATGCAGGTTTAGATGAGGTGACCTCAGATTGCGTGTCAAAACGACTAAAGGTGACCAAGGGTGTATCGAAACGACAAGAGATCGTTTATATCTTTAAACCACAAATCGTGTATTACTATATCAAACGCACATCTTTCTTTTCCCATAACATGCAACTCTACAAGGTTTCAAACTCAGTTTTTTCGCTTTAACGTTAATCAAGTTAATTCGCGAATTCTCACCTATGATTTACACTCAAGAATTAACTATTTAACAAATAACAAAAATTTCATACGACATTAAGATTATTTGTGGTCACCCTGTTATTYGTGGTCACCCTGTGTCACAATCAAACCGAAGAAACTTCTAGTAAATTTGTCTCAAATATCACAAAAAATACGATTTCCAATGAAAAATATATAAATAACAGTCTAGAAGGACAATATTAAGGATAAGGATAAGCATAAAAGCCTTTAAAAAGGCCAAATCGTCTCAACAATTCATTCAGATGGAGGGAACAAAGACAAAATCCCTCGGTCAACAACAAAAGCTCTGATTTTTACCTCAAAAACAGCTGTTTTACTCTAATAATCTCAAGATTAGTACATAAAGCATTCTCCTACCTGTATTAGCTCATCGAGGCTTTCTTGTAAGCTATTTCCTAGTGTAGTGTTTCGATAAAGTTGATAACTCATCGTGTTTCGACAACCTTCGATGTATTTATACCTTACACGATTCGGCTCATGCCTTATTTGGGCATGCTGATCAGCCGCCATCTTGGATTTGACCATATATGGATAACAACACAGGAATCCCGAGATCTCTTTTTTTGATAAAGGCTAACAATGAATGAAACAGAGAGTCCTCAAAAAAAAAAAAAAAAAANAAAAAAAAAAAGTCCCGATGGAAAATAAACCTCTTAGGTATGCCAAAAGATTAAAAAAGAAAAAAGAAAAAGAAAAAGAAAAAAAGAAAATCAAGCGAAACATTAATTTTCTACTTTAAACACAGGCAGCCAAACAAGGTTCCTGTCAGTATGGTTTATAAGAGAATGTATGGGAGTTATGATAAAGTCATGACAATAAAATGTTTCACTCAACGATTTGCCTCAAAACTTGCTGCAGTTGCTGCTTTTACTTTGTTCAGTCTTCTGGCGAAGTTTCAGCTCGATTTGAGGCCGTTTAGTGGGTTTTTTCAAAATCCGCTCTTTCAACAGGAATAGGAACCTTGTTTGGGCTGCCTGTGCTTTAAAGAATAAATGATGATCAAAGAAATTAAGAAAGTGAACAAGAATGTCGGTCGGTCGGTCAGTAAGTAAGTAAAGAGGACTAAGAAAAAATAGATAAAGCAATAGAAAGTAAGTTAGTGAGAAGAGAGTAATAGAAAAAAAGCAAGATCGAGAAAAAAGGAAGAAAGGAAGAAAATTATAAGTATTTATGCCAATATATAAGAAATTTAAAAAACTTTGAATCATTAAATGAAATCATCAAATGGGTCATAAAATAAACCTGGTTTGGTCATTACTTATAGATGCACTGTTCAAGAAAAGACGAAGACTAGTTTGGGGTGAGTGTAAATTTTTATTGAATATTTTATGTGAAAAAGGAAATACAGATCATTGAGAAAACTACAAAAAGTTGTTATTGGGATTTCTCTGCGTTGAAGTTCACTTTCAAGAACAGTAGTATGATATAAAATTAGCCATTCCGGATTGAGCGAAAAACTGGCATGCCAGCTCAATCCAGTTTTTTCTCAGGAAACCCAACGTAAACTCGCGAAAAGTCGTCGGTATTCCTGTGTTATTTTAACAGTCATTCTTATTCCCAGACCCTACTCATTTCACTGAACGATTTGGCTATTGAGTAAGGTATGGGTACGAAAATGTTATAGAACTTCTTGACCTTGACCTTTGCACTCTAATATCTTTTTTCTACTTTCACATCCCCATAATCCTTTGCGTCTTTGGGGTTGTAACCAGAGGGTAAAAACCCACTTATTTTGCTAAGGCTGATCAGACAATGTTGACAATACCTTGTTTGGTATTCAAAGATAAAATGAAGAAGTAAAAAACAGAAAAAGATGGAAGCTTCAAGACGTTTAAGGTAAATTTTTAACATTTTCTGTAAGACCAAAACTCTTGATGATCTGTACACGCAAAAATAACTTGGAATAAACTGATAATCAGTATTGTACAGATAAAAGCAGGTATAATATAAATTCAATTAAGAAACCTTTCAATTTGGGACAGTTTTTTGATTGGTTACCCCCCAAAGACGCAAGGCATTATGGGGATGTGAAAGTAGAGAATACAACTAAGCTATAGTAATATATTCAAGGTGCAACAATGCTCCAGAACGGAGTAAATAGTAAGTTATGGGAAATACACGAGTCCGTATAGTAGAGGGAGCAGATGGCTACTTAATTTGTCAAAGGAGGGTGGGAAGAAAAGAAAAAGGAACGCCGAGAAAAGTTATATGTCAGAAACTTCCCTGTGTCTTCATTTAAAATAAGTCACAGCATTACCTTCCTCATATGGTACACCCCCTCGTGCGACAGTTGGCTTCACCGATTATGGAACTATCCTTGTGTTCTACCCATTTTATACTAATTGTTACGCAAGGCTGCACATTTAATAGTGACTGAATACAGACCCTCTTTACCCTCCTAACTCAGTCGACTCCAGAAAGTCGAATCGATCGCGAGTTTTTTGGTTTGGTCGCCCACACTCACGCGACTAAGTTAGGTAAAAATACTCGATTCGAGTGAGTCGAATTATTATAATCATCATCACCATCATCGTCAAACTGTAAATATAGCTTTCTGAGTTTTCTAATTACTTTTTGCTAAAGTAGTCAGCGACCTTAAATTAATACAAAATACAAAGAGAAACTCATATTGTAAGTAACCATTTGTTGAACATAAAAAACTATTGCAAATAGACGATAGTCTCTTAAAACAAGCCGTTAGAAAGGTTGAGCCGGCGTTTTATAGTCAGCGGTCCTGAGATGGACAAGCACTTTGACGACCTGGTCGCAAGGTTTTTGGCTCCTGCTCTGCAGGGTTTCCCATAAGCCTACGATTTGGCTAATGAGTAAGGTCTGGGAACGAGAATGTCGTACTATAGTATAAAGGGGAAAAAGGAGACGTATATTTATAGCAAGATACTGTATAATAAGGTTATTCTTGGGTTTTAATGATTTTTTTTAAGATTTAGGATTAGTTGGTCCTAATACTTACAGATAAACTGTTTGTACCCACTGGTGCAGCCTATTTTTTTCCACTTACCAGTGGATGCCTCCGCAAGTATACAGCCCTTACCAGCTGCTAACGACTTCTCAAACTTATTGAAGTCAAATTGTGTACCATCAGTCCATTTATAAGTGCCTTCTGTTTCGGTATCACTCAATCCAATCCAGAATTCCATTCCAATTAAATTAACTACCGCTTCGTTTTCGGATTCGCTATGTATTGAAACCAGATGTCCCCCCTCACTCACACAACGGCTTTCTGCGTCGTTCCAAGGTAAATATTCGTTAATAACAAGGTAGCAATTGCCTTGCTTGGAGGTCCAACTACCAGTGCAAACTGAAAAAATACAAACGGTGGATTTAACAAATAGATCAGGCTTACCAGGTAGCTATGTTCTTGCTCTGATAAAATGACACTGACTCCTAAAGCTGTAGAACACTCAAAATAGTAATCACATCAAGCAAAAAAAAAAA